AGAATGTATGGGGAGAACATGCTAACTCCTAGCATGCAGAAGGAGAAAATGCAACTCAATGGATACATGAGGAGAACATGCCAACTCTTAGCATGTATGTGGCATGCTATCTCCATTCATGCTGAAGGAGAACATGGTAGCTCCTAGCATGCATGTGGAGAACATGCTATCTCCTAGCATGTATGGGGAGAACATGCTAACTCCTAGCATGTATGGGGAGAACATGCTAACTCCTAGCATGTATGGGGAGAACATGCTATCTCCATGCATGCAGAAGGAGAAAATGCAACTCAATGGATACATGAGGAGAACATGCCAACTCTTAGCATGTATGTGGCATGCTATCTCCATTCATGCTGAAGGAGAATGGTAACTCCTAAAATGTATGAGGAGAACATGCTATCTCCTAGCATGTATGGGGAGAACATGCTAACTCCTTGCATGTATGGGGAGAACATGCTATCTCCATGCATGCATGTGGAGAACGCTATCTCCTAGCATGCATGAGGAGTACATGCTATCTCCTAGCATGTATGGGGAGAACATGCTAACTCCTAGCATGTATGGGGAGAACATGCTATCTCCATGCATGCAGAAGGAGAAAATGCAAATGCAATGGATACATGAGAAACATGCTAACTCTTAGCATGTATGTGGCATGCTCTTCTCAGCCTTCAGAGAGTACAGACACTTTTTTCTCAGCTCCCTTATCGGCTTCCCCAAGGCTCTTGTCCTGTCTGCCTACAGAGCACTTCTCTGCATTTCTCCTGAAACCACTACTCTTTTTTTGGAAATATGGACTTAATTAACTGGTCATTCAATGTGATTGACAAAATTTTCTCTACGATGAGAACGGAGAAGGGGGCTCCCACCTGTCCCGAGGAGACATTCGCATCGGGATATGCACTCGATTCTTGGGAGGTCTGGCGAATCGTGTGCCTCTCTCAGCTGTCCATCGAGGACGTGGAAGATTTGTGGATATTCGGCCTAATGATCACTGGATTTCTTCTGATTGGAGTGGGAGGATATCTGGTTTTCTGGAAATTTGGGAAGACGGGAGCGATTGGAGTGCGACCCGTACCCACGGAATGTGCCGCTCGTGCGGTGACCTCACAGACTGGGACGTTACTCGAGGTGAACCGTAAGCTGGACAATGTCCTTGCGGCGTTGCCTGTGTTAGTGCGCAAGATGGATTTGATCTCGGAGAGGGTCGCCGGACGATGCGGGGATGTGGAATGTTAAATTGGCTTCACTGGTGGACATGAATGACCACTTAGAGACTCCAAGGCGGAGAGGAAGATTATCTCTGCCTGCCCTAAACAAAGTCATGTTTATCCTTATCTGACGCCATAGCAGCCTCTCAAGGCTGCCTCAACACACCCCCACAAAAGGAGGGATGCCGACAGATGCTGTGTCCCGACCTTCACCCTCTTGCTTCAGGCTGACATGTCTGCAGGGACTTCAATGTGCTCTCTGTTCCTTATCTCTCCCTCCCACCTGTTTGTCTGCAGCTGGTCGATGCGCCGCAGTGGCAGCTCCCATTGGAGGCTTCAGGATCCCGCCCACCCCCACCTCCCCATCGGACTCTGATGTTGTATACGTGCTGTCTGTGCTTCCATGTTGGGTGTTTTTTTTTGCATTGGAGTGCTACACCCTGCTGGTGTAACCCTGTTAATGCCTTTTTTTCTCCCTCCCTGAACTTCCCTCATGTAACACCCTTTTCATCTAACTATTAAGGTAGCGCGACTCATGTTGCGAATGACCGCAGTCACCAATTCTTGTTATGTGTCTTACCCACGTATGTCTGATCTTTGAACTGTGTGTGCTGAAACTGAATTTCATTTCTCTGTATGTCCTGCACATGTGGAGAATATGACAATAAATGACTTTGACTTTGACTTTGACTTTTGACTATCTCCTTTCATGCTGAAGGAGAACATGGTAACTCCTAGCATGCATGAGGAGAACAAGCTAACTCCTAGCATGCAATGGGAGAACAAGCTAACTTCTAGCATGTATGGGGAGAACATGCTAAGTCCTAGCATGTATGGAGAACATGCTATCTCCATGCATGCAGAAGGAGAAAATGCTAATCAATGGATACATGAGAAGAACATGCCAACTCTTAGCATGTATGTAGCATGCTATCTCCATTCATGCTGAAAGAGAACATGGTAACTCCTAGCATGCATGAGGAGAACAAGCTAAATCCTAGCATGCAATGGGAGAACACGCTAACTTCTAGCATGTATGTGGAGAACATGCTATCTCCTAGCATGTATGGGGAGAACATGCTAACTCCTAGCATGTATGGGGAGAACATGCTAACTCCTAGCATGTATGGGGAGAACATGCTATCTCCATGCATGCAGAAGGAGAAAATGCAACTCAATGGATACATGAGGAGAACATGCCAACTCTTAGCATGTATGTGGCATGCTATCTCCACTCATGCAGAAGGAGAACCTGGTAACTCCTAGCATGCATGAGGAGAACAATCTAACTCCTAGCATTTATGGGGAGAACATGCTATCTCCACACATGCAGAAGGAGAACATGGTAACTCCTAGCATGCATGAGGAGAACAAGCTAACTCCACGCATACATGGGGAGAACATTATCTTCACGCATGCATGAAGAGAGCATGCTAACTCCATGTGTACAGGAGGAGAACATAGCTCCTAGCATGTTTGGGGAGAAAATGTTAACTCTTCACTGAAAGGCTGCAGCTCGGATTCGAACTGGTGACCTACTTGCTGCTTGGCAAACGTGCTACCAACCGCTCCACCATGTAGCCCAGAGAACGTTCCGTAAACACTGCCATCAACTGGTGGAAACCAATTGGACTAGAAAAGTTTGATGAAACACTTGTTTCATCAGGCATACAGGAAGCTGAAGAACAAACTACAGAGGAACAATATCAGAGATGTCTGGTCAGGGATGAAGAAGATCACAGACTTCAAGCAGAGGAAGGATTGCACAGATAGCAGCCTGGACACAGCCAATGAACTGAACAAGTTCTTCAATAGGTTCAGTTCAGGAACAAACCCAGCATCCTCCTCGACTGTCCCCAGCCAATCACACATCCCATCCTCCTCTGATCCAACATTGTCCTGTCACACGCCAGCTCTTTTGTCCTCTAATGCAGTCATGGACTCTTCTGGTTCTATAAATCTGTCTTCAACCAAGTCAGGAGATGCTGCTGCCCCATTTACCTCCCCCTCCCACATATCTGTTTCTAGAAGTCAGGTGAAGAGGCAGCTGGAGAGACTGAACAGGAACAACGCTGCAGGTCCAGATGGTGTCAACCCCAGGGTACTGAAGGCCTGTGCAGAGCAGCTCTGTGGGAATCTGCAGCACCTCTTCAACCTCAGCCTGGCCCAGGAGAAGGTTCCAGTCCTGTGGAAGACATCCCGCCTTGTTCCCGTTCCAAAGAAAACTCGCCCATCAGTCATTGACGACTACAGACCGGTTGCCATGACATCCCACATCATGAAGGTCCTGGAGAGACTCCTGTTGGTCCACCTGAATAAGCAAACTAGAACATATAAGGACCCACTGCAGTTTGCTTATCGCCATGGAGTTGGAGTTGAAGATGCTATCATCCAGCTGCTTCAACCAACCCACTGTCATCTGGACAAAGCAGGCAGCACTGTGAGGGTCATGTTCTTTGATTTCTCCAGTGCATTTAACACAATCCAGCCTGATGTGCTTTGCCAGAAACTCCAGAAGACACAGGTGGGGGCCTCAACTATCGCCTGGATTAAAGACTACCTGACATACAGACCACAGTTTGTGAGGCTGAAGAAATGCACATCAAACCAGGCGATCAGTAACATTGGAGCACCACAGGGGACTGTACTCTCACCATTCCTTTTCACCCTGTACACCTCAGACTTCCAGTACAAATCAGAGACCTGTCATCTACAGAAATATTCAGATGACTCTGCAGTTGTCAGGTGTATCAGAGATGGACAGGAAGCTGAGTACAGAGAGCTGGTGGAGCGCTTTGTGGCATGATGTGGAAACAATCATCTGACCTTGAACATGAACAAAACAAAGGAGATGATTTTAGACTTCAGAAGAAACAGGGAGGAGTCAAACACTGTTTCCATCATGGGAGAAGAAGTGGATGTGGTTGAGAAATGCAAACACCTTGGAGTTTACCTGGACAACAGACTGGACTGGAGAAAGAACAGTGAAGCTGTTTACAAGAAGGGGCACAGCAGACTGCACTTCTTGAGGACGCTTAGGTCCTTCAATGTCTGTTGCAAGATGCTGCAGATCTTCTACAAGTCTGTTGTTGAGAGTGTAATCTCTTCAGCCATCGTCTGTTGGGGTAGTAGCATCCGAAGCAGGGACCTGAAAAGGCTCAACAGCCTAATTAAAAAGGCTGGTTCTGTTCTGGGGACGACTGTGGAACCACTGGAGGAGATAATGCAAAGAAGGATTCTCCAGAGAATCAAGAAAATTATGGACAACCCTGAGCATTCTCTTCACAAGACTGTCCGACAACGGAAGAGTGTTTTCAGTCAGAGGCTTCTTCAGTTTCGCTGCAACACTGACTGCTACTGGAGATCCTTCCTGCCAACAGCCATTGTAATATACAACAACTCTTTGATGACTTGGTTATTATTATTATTATTCTGAGCTACTACAGCAATCAATTTCCCTCTGGGATTAATAAAGTATTTTTGAAATTAATTGAGTTGAATTTCCTTTAGGTCTCACCTTCTTGATGAAGTAACCGTGGAAGTAGAAGTCTTTGTTGGTTCTGTGAGGAAGCGAAGCAGGGAGGATGCTGACCAGTCTTTGTGTCTCGTGGATGACGGCCTCAGTGAACGGCAAGAACTTCCTGTCAGCTACCTGCACCTGCCGGTCTCCTACAACCCTCTTCACCTCCTCCTGGACCTGGTCTCATTGATGAAACGGAACCTCACTACAGGTAAATGAGTCTCAGTGGCACCTGTCTGCTTAGTTTTAGAACAATTAAACCAGCTGTTTCAGAACTTTTCAGCTTTTGACTTGTGAAACTATGTCTCAGAAACTCGTGATCCTGATTACTGCTGGTTAAGGTGCAGAAGCATTAAGTTATGTAACAAACATCCTATATTTTTATACTTTTATGACCATTTCTTCTTTTCAAACTAAATATGCCATGGATAGACTGTTGCGTCATGAAACAAAACCATATTTGGTTTTGGAAACACATCCAGAGATGTTTTGTGTTTACCTTGTGTCTTTGGATACTTGGCCATGAGGAGAAGTGCCCATCTCAGTGTGGTGGATGTTGTTTCTGTTCCAGCAGTGAACAGGTTCGTGATAGTCATTAACAGGTTTTCATCGTGGAAGTGACTGTTTTTAACCCCAGATTCCTGCAAAAACACGACTAACATGGTGGTCTGACTTCTAGGCTAACAGGACAACAAAACCACTCTGATGCAGGAATTCATTGTGAGATGGTTTTATGATGGTACTGTAAGATCAATGAGGCAGATGTGGGTTCAACATTTTTATTGCTTTCACTTTTACAGTCTTCATGACTTTATACAAACCTCCAGATGTTGTTTGCGGACCAGAAAAGCGTCCACGATCCCTCTGCACATCTGTGGGTTCAGCGTCTCCTTTAACCGACGGAACATGGCAAAGTTCTGCTGCTTGTTGGCGGCAACGAGCCCCAGGATTTCCTTCCTTTTGGAAACCCATTTAAAAAGCCATGGGTACAAATTGTAAACCTTTAAAGCAACAACAATCAGTGGTTAGAATGATTGACACAACTTCTAAAGCGTGTTTCTGATTGTAGGCTGAGAGACCACGATGGAAGGAGATGCGGTGAGACGGATGTGTGTGTTGGTTCGATCCACCAAAGACGTAAACTCTTGATCATCGTATTCAAACCTGCAGCCGTAGGCCATGGAGCAGATGATGTTGGACACGGCGTAGTTCAGAGGCAGCATTGTGTCTAAAGCTTCTCCTGGAGCAAAGAAATCAGGAAGTAGAGCTTCTAGTCAGTATTTTTCACATTATAGCTTCAAAAATCATACCAATAGTTTTGTGCTTTAAATGTTAGTTAAGGTAATTCCCCCCTAAAGTGTAAAATTGTTCCCTAGAGACCAACCATACCAGTCCAGCCTAATCGGTCTAGCCATTCTCCAATGCAGCCTCAGCAGGTCTACCATTGGCCCGAACAGTTTTGTTTCTAGCCAATCGCATCACTCTACATTTGATTGGCATGCTTACCACTACTATACAACTGAGAAAAACTACAAAGATGGCGTCTGCTCAGGAACAGCGATTGTTTAAAACAGCTTTGGCTTCAACTTTGAATGAAGCTTTTCTTTGAGACTCGAGCAGATGGACTTTAGTCTCATTTACAAAAATGATGTGTTTACTTTGTCTTTGACGTGTATGGTGGACTGCCCTGTTGACTGGTTTCTGTAGCGATGATCTCATCACGTTTTTGTTGCTCTGATTGGTCCTAGTGCTGTCCATAGTTGACTGGGTGGTTTGAATGGGTTGTGACCAGACTATAGATTTACATATGGAGGACTATGAAATCATTCTTTTTATTTAAAACTCAACAAAATAATTTTATATTTAAGACATAAAATGTGTATATTTAGTTTTTTTCCCTCATTTGTAAGTTTTTTAAATAATTGTAGGCGTTGGTCAAGTATATATATATATATGTACATGTATGTATGTACGTACTGTATGTATGCATGTATGTATGTATGTATGTATGTATGTATGTATGTATGTAATGATGGGTGTTTCGACCATGCCAGTCACATACTTTGAGATTTATCAGCTTGTAAAAGTTTGTACGTCACCACATAATCTCCTCTCCCCTAGCGTAGCAGTATGTATGTATGTATGTATGTATGTATGTATGTATGTATGTATGCATGTATGCATGTATGCATTCTGGTAACAATATGAATTTTTACCTTTATATTTACTTAACACATCACTGAGGAACTGACATTCCTCAATGATCTTGTCTTCACATGTCTTCCTCCCCATCCCAAAGTCTCGGAGGTTGGTCAAAGTAAAACGTCTCATTTCTCTCCACGAGTCTCCGTTGGCCCACAGAACTCCTGAAACCAAACACCATTAACTCCTATCTTAATCTTTAAAAGGTCAGTTTGATATTTAAATAGTTTTTATTATTCCTGACCATGTCCGTTGGTAAATTCTTTAACAATCTGTAAGAAATCTCTGTCTCCAAACTCCTCCTCCCGGCCAACGAGAGCCTCCTTCACCGTTTTGTATCCTGCCAGAACCACCACCTTCTTGAGTCCGAGGTAGACGGTGAAGACGGATCCATACTTCTTGGAAAACTGACAACAGAGGAACATTAACATGAATAAACTAATTAATAAGTAAACCCACCTGAAGAACATATTTGCTAACTTAACTAATAAAGTTCATGTCGTTTTTGGTACATAGCCCATGCACAAGGCTCCGCCTACTTTTAGGTAAAACCAGCCTCCTACATTTAGATGAATTGGCCTATATTTGTCCTTATAGAGTCCTGGAACCCCCCAATGCACTTTACACCCACACATTCCCACCCTGGCGGTGGTGAGCTACATCGTAGCCACAGCAGCCCTGGGGCACACTGACAGAGGCGAGGCTGTCGCATGGCGCCACCGATCCCTCCCAACACCACCAGCAGACAAGTGGGGTTAAGTGTCTTGCCCAAGGACACAATGGCAGCAACAGACTGAGCGGGGCTCAAACCTGCAACCTTCCGGTTATGGGGCGAGCACTTAACTCCTCTGTTACCGTCGCCCCATTCGTGAGGAAAAATAACAAATTTATTAAAACTAACTTTAGTTTTGGTTTTTGTTCGTGACGTTTTTAATGGACAAAAATAAAATAGACTTCCAGTCACTTTACCAGATCAAAGCTTTACCTGAGTGCTTCTTCTTCTACTGGGTGGCAGAGGATTAGTGTCTGCCCTGTAACTGGAAGATTGCAGGTTCAAGCCCTGCTCAGTCTGTCACAGCCGTTGTGTCCTTGGGCAAGTCACTTAACCCACATTACCTGCTGGTGGCCAAAGGAACCAACGGGGCTTGTGTCAGTACACTCCGGGCGGCTGTGGCTATGATGTAGCTCATCAACATGCATGTGTGCATGAAGGAATGATTGTGTGGTAAAGCACCTTGGGGGGTTTAGGACTCTAAAAGGTGACATTTACAATTTAGCTAAAGTTGACCCTGTAAATAAGTATTAATTCTGCGTTCCAATATAAAAATAAAAGCTACAGAGCCGGACGGCGGTCAGGTCTGACCCTAACCCTAACCATTTAACTTCCACACTGAACAACAAACAGCAATGAAAATGTTTGCGTTTTACGTTATTAATCCAGATAATAAACCATTATAATCCAATGAAAGTTGCTGATAATATGAAATATCATAAATTCATCTGTTTATTCAAAAATCCCCTTTTTGACATTTTCTTTGGAGTTTGGTTTATTTTAATTAAAGTTTTATGCATTTTTATGATCCTGTTAGATATTACACGTTATATAATATAGCATACATTTTTAGTCACTTTTCAAAATAAAATGTCTTGCAGATCAATTTATATACAGATGTTTTTACTTTTTCAGTTGTGCTCAGCAAGTAATGGTTCATGGACCAGAACCGGCCCTCAGACCAGGATTTGAGAAGCCCTGATGTGCAACAAAAGCAAGTCTTCAAGGTGTGTGAAGTGTTGCAGACACAACGTTAACCGGACGACCCGCTCGACAGTAACGCGATTCAGCAGAAACTGAAACAGATCAAATTATCCTCATAGATCAGATTTATTTATTTATTTATTTATTTATTTATTTATTTATTTATTTATTTATTCATTCATTCATTCATTCATTCATTTATTCATTCATAAAAACAGTCGAGATGTTTAAAAAGATGCAGAAATTTAAAAAAAAGTCATCTGTTGGTTAAAATGGGATCATTTAGTTTCATTCGTTTTAGTAGTGTTAATCATTTCAGAATTTGAATTTGTAAAAACTAAAAGTTTTTCCGACACCAAGAAAGAAAATTAAATGAGTTTCGTCTTTGAGACAAACCTCTCCTTTAACCTCCTCACCTCCAGCAGCGTGTGGTATGGCCTCTTCAGGTCGACCTGCAGAAGGTTCCCGAGAATCGGGAGTGGTGTCGGTCCTGGTGGCTCCTTCCTGTGTTTGGTGACAATGAAGCTGGGAGAAGTCAGGAGATATGTCAGCAGGAGAATCACCAGAACCACCAGCAGGGAGACCGAGTAGGACTGGAGCAGAAGGCCTAAAACAGCCATGACTTTAACAGCTTCAGTCCAGCTGACTGGAGTTCAGAAGAATCTGAAGCTTAGAGAGAAACCAGAACTGAAGCGCTCATCAGGTCGTCTGGACGTATAGCAGAAAGGTTAATCTATAAAACAGTGAATGATTGTTTCAACAGCGGGAACTTTGGTCTGTGGCATCGCCGGTTGTTCATTAGACACAACAGATTTATTCCACCTCAGCTGTACATTTACTGGGTTCAGAAAATTCATCAAACCACAAATTTATTTAATCATGGTTTTCACTGATTCTGTAAAAAAAGGCGATAAAACCCAACCCATCAGTCAGATCTCTGTTAAAATATTATCTGTGCTGTTTAACTTGAAAACCTGCAGAATTGTTTTTTAAATTATGTTTAAGACAGATCACATTTAGCTTTATTAGTCCTTTCACACAAAAACAGGAACAAATCTTAGAATAATGTCGAACTTTTCATTATGATCTGCCGTGGAGCTAAAACAGGATTTGGCAGCCATAGATTGAGCAGGTGGTCTTTTAAAAAGATGAGACATCTGTAATTTTCATCCCTTCAACTGTGAGAGAAGATGTAAAACAGAAGTCCTGAAAATCACAGTGTTTGATTTTTTAAAGTTATTTGCATCATGGTGCAGAAAATAAGTACACTGCTCACAAAAATTAAAGGAACACTTTAAAGAAACACATTAGATACATCAGATCTCAATATGAAGTTGGATATCTATACAAATAACGACAGGGCAATGTCTTAGGAACAAAAGGATTCCAAGTCTTTTAATGGAAATAAAAGTTATCAGCCTACAGAGGGCTCAGTTGTGTAGACACCCTAAAATCGGAGTGAAATAAAGATGTGGTAGGCTAGTCCATTATTTCAAAAACTTGATTTCTGCAACTCAAATTGCTTTTCAGTATCTTGTGTGGCCCCCACAAGCTTGTGTTCATGCTTGACAACGTCGGGACATGCTCCTGTAACGATTTGCTAGTTACATCTTAAGTAATGATCCATAAAATGTGAGATTCCATAGGAAATATGAAATCAATTTGATGGATCTTTGAATATCACTTTAAACAGAAGATCAGAACTTTTTATTGCAGGGATTAGGTACCACTTCGTATTAATCCAGAGTCAAAAGAGAGAGAGACAAGTTTTAAAGTTTAAGAAGATTTATTTCTAAACAATTTAAAACAAGGCTAACTAACTCTCAACACTCTGTGTGATGAATGGATCACCTACCAAAGGGGGGGTTGGATGGCGCCCTGTACCACTGCTGGCTGACCCTGATCTCTCTGACTGCACCTGCGTGTCGACCGAGGGCCCTCCAGAGCGCTCACCTGCGCCGAACTTTCGCAAGCCTGCACCAGTCTACAGTCTAAAACGTTCCTGATTTCCATTTTCAGGTCTGACAAACTACATTTTGTTAGTCGCGTGTATCGATCTGATATCGACCGCGGCTGTGATTCATTCTCAGTCTCCTCCAACGTGTCTGTATGAACCTGAGCCCTCTTCGGTTATCACGTTCTGAGACTGCCCAGGTCTGTTCACACAAAAGATTTTCGTCAAATTCGACCCCGCTATAGCGTGTACTGATAAGATGACGAATGCCTTCGGCAACCTCTCGGAAACGGGAGCTCCCTGGACTAGTACCCTGACACAGCATGCAGAAGCTGACATCCGTCACATACTGGTCCAGGCACTTAAATTCACGGTTTCGAACAGTGACCTTTCCGGTACCAGCATTAGGCCGAAGCATTTCCTTGACGGACTTTTCTCAGTAGCTAATACAATTGGCAATCTTTTAAATTTTGGATTCTCTTCAGTCAAGTCGATTGAGACTAACACAGTTCGTCGACACGTTGATGAGCTAAACAGAGAATATCCGGCTCTGCGTAAGCAGGTACTGCAGCAGTGGCGTGCCCTGAGACAGCAGGGCACATCTGAACAACAGACTATGGTGGTACTCAACGCTCATAGCGACATTTTGCGTAAAACAACTTCCGCTGTGAGTGAGTTACGTTCTTTTGTGAATGTTGACTATGCTCATACACAGATGCTGACCACTTGCCTGTCCGACTATGGTCGGGACGTCTGTTCCTGATTGTCTGGGTAGAGACGTTCACACCAGTGGCCCTCTGGAGGTCATTCTGTAGGGCACGAGCAGTGCTCAGCCTGTTCCGCCTTGCACAAAGGAGCAGGTATCGGGTTGGGGACCTTCTGCAGCCCTGTCCAGCTCTCAGAGAATAACCGCTAGTCTCCTGAAATCTCCACCATGTTCTGGAGATTGTGCTGGGAGAGACATTAAACCTTCTTGCTGCAGCACGTGTGGATGTGCTGTCCCGGAGAAGTTGGACAAGCTGTGCAACTTCTGTAGGGTTAAGGAATCGCCTCATACTGCCAGTAGAGAGCCAAAACTAGCACGAGTGGAAAACCGGCCGAAAAAGTTCACGAGGGAGAAACTTGAAATGACCTCTACATGTTAAACCAGTCCTGTTTTGAGGGTTTTGTAATTGTTGCCACTTTAGTGCACCTGTCATTAAATCCATGAACACAATACAGCTGAATGTGATTAACAATGCCCTCAGCTGCTTAATCAACCAGGAAATTTTCAGACAGGTTTAATTGATTTCATGCCAGGCCCAAAAAAAAAGTATTCCTTTAATTCTTGTGAGCAGTGTATTTGGTCTAGGCCTGTGTGGTATACGAATTTGTACCTAAAACCAGTGTTTATTTCCGTTATACTATGAATTTTTTCATATTCCACTATACTAGTCGATAGCCTAGACAACGGTCGTAGCATATGCCGTGGGAAAGTGTTCAGCAGGGACTGATTTCACTGTTGCACACTAACACCACAGCTTGTGTGAAAAGAAAAGTGAGATAGTGGTGGAGTGTTTGCCCTGGGACTGGGAGATCAGTGTCACTCATCTGTAAGGGGTTGGGAGGTTAAACCACCATATAGTTCCCGAGCGCAGCCACTGCTGCAGCTCACCGTTCCCCATGGGGATGGATCCCATGCAGAGATGTAATTTCACCAGTGTGTGATGAGGACTAATGGGACTTTAACTTTAAACATTTAGCATGCTGACTGTGAAGCAAGCAGAGGTAACTGGGCCAAAAATGCATCATCATATGTGTCTATCATATCACACGGTAACTGTGCGTAGTTAACACGGTAACTGTGCGTAGTTAACACGGTAACTGTGCGTATTTAACACGGTAACTGTGCGTAGTTAACACGGTAACTGTGCGTAGTTAACATGGTAACTGTGCGTAGTTAACACGGTAACTGTGCGTAGTTAACACGGTAACTGTGCGTAGTTAACACGGTAACTGTGCGTAGTTAACACGGTAACTGTGCGTAGTTAACATGGTAACTGTGCGTAGTTAACACTGTAACTGTGCGTAGTTAACACGGTAACTGTGCGTAGTTAACACGGTAACTGTGCGTAGTTAACATGGTAACTGTGCGTAGTTAACACTGTAACTGTGCGTAGTTAACACGGTAACTGTGTGTAGTTAACACGGTAACTGTGCGTAGTTAACACTGTAACTGTGCGTAGTTAACACTGTAACTGTGCGTAGTTAACACTGTAACTGTGCGTAGTTAACACGGTAACTGTGCGTAGTTAACACGGTAACTGTGCGTAGTTAACACGGTAACTGTGCGTAGTTAACACGGTAACTGTGCGTAGTTAACACTGTAACTGCGTAGTTAACACTGTAACTGTGCGTAGTTAACACGGTAACTGTGCGTAGTTAACACGGTAACTGTGCGTAGTTAACACGGTAACTGTGCGTAGTTAACACGGTAACTGTGCGTAGTTAACACGGTAACTGTGCGTAGTTAACACTGTAACTGTGCGTAGTTAACACGGTAACTGTGCGTAGTTAACACGGTAACTGTGCGTAGTTAACACGGTAACTGTGCGTAGTTAACACTGTAACTGTGCGTAGTTAACACTGTAACTGTGCGTAGTTAACACGGTAACTGTGTGTAGTTAACACGGTAACTGTGCGTAGTTAACACGGTAACTGTGCGTAGTTAACACGGTAACTGCGATTGACATGTTGGGAAACGGTGACTTCTCACGAGAGAATAATTCACAGCTACACCAGACAACAGAGGAGTTATCCACCTAAAAAGATAACAAGGTCTATAATTGTCATCACAGGTACGGTAAATGTCCTGGATGCCTTCTAGGGTTCTAAACCCCCAAAACCACCCATGCCCACACACATTCACGCTGGTGGTGAGGAGCTTCAATGCGGCCCCAGCTGCCCTGGTGGCTCATTGAGAGGTGAGGCTACCACCGGTCTCTCCGACCATCACCAACAGACAAGAAGAGGAAGTGTCTTGCCAAAAGACACAACGACTGCGACAGACTGAACGGGGCGCAAACCTGTAACCTTGTTTGAGGGGCAGGCACCCAACTCCTCTACCATTGTTGCCCATAAACCTGAAAACATAGATGTGTCATTGGGTGCTGGGAAGTGTAACAGCATCGCTGCCATTTTGGGTGGGTTCCTCAATCTCCAAGCCCCCAGGGCAGGCAAATAACGGTTGCAACAACTGGCACATTGAAAACAGATCTCGTGGGATTATTATTCAATATTAAAACCAAATGATATTATTATTCACTTTTTTACTTACATTTTTGTTCTTTAATTATATTTATGCTTTACTTATCATGCCATTTGTCCGATTTTGTTAAAAATCATAATAAAATGTGTTATCTGGTTGGGTGAACAGCACCTGGACAGGTCAGTGAACACTGTAATATTCAAACCAACCACCTGCAGATAGTTAACCTTCCTGTTAGGCGGCGGGTCAAGTTGACCTCATTTTAAAGATTAAGAAAACGATCATTAACCCAGGAGACTGTAATGTTTAAAGTGATGTTTCTTTATTTAAACAAGCAACTTTAAGATGTTTGACCTGCAGGTCTGACTGTGTGTTTGGAGTTTCAGGCGTTAAAGTCCAACACCTAATTTTCCTTTTGTTTTTCTCATTAAGTAATTCAGGTTAAAGCTGCGAATTTAGACTTAAAGGGATCAAAACCGGTCCGTCTAGTTACGTCTAACACTTAGTTTTGTAACTTGGAACATGTTTCATGACATGTA